ACCGAACAGCCCGGCCCGCCCGGCTGCCCGCCGCTGCTCGGGCTATGGCACAAACAGCCTGAATCCCCGCCTCGCTGAAAATCACTCCGCAAGAGTTACACGCCGACTACTAACTTTGTACGTATGCATCCCTTATTTTACAAAGCTAAATGTTCACGGGCAATGGGTGTTTGCCGTGGTTTGATGCTGCTTAAAAGACAAAATTACAGTCTGCTAAAAATTAATTACAGGCAGTATTATTTTAAAACTCGCCTGCAGCTGGTTTCAATGCTGTACCAATTTTTAATTGCTCCAACTGATGGCAGACATCGGTTTTAATACAAATACTTGTCAGCAACACATCATTTTCCAAAGCACAGGCTTTTTAACCCAATTCACTGATCTCTCCATTCCTGCAAGTGGCTGCTGTTACTCCCTGATTACAGACTCAGAACTTCTGCACGCTGCCTAAAAAAAAAAACCTGTAACAGAAGTACAATCCTCAAAGTTATCTCACACAGACGCTCCATACGTCCCGAGACAGAGAGAAATACCAAGATACCAACCACGAAACAGTATTTTGGGCTACAGATCAGCAAAATACACGTGTCAAGAACAGCATTGGAGGCGTTAACAAACTCAGTCATTAGCAACTGCAGTGATTTAAATTCTTTTAGTTCCAAGGCAAACCACAGGCAAAATTGTAATAAGCTGCTCCTGGGTTAACATTTGTATTTCGAGTACAGCCTGGAGCAAGTATTGCAGCCTGAACGACGAGACTGTACAAATGTGAAGCAGCATAAAGCGCAGCAGCGTAAGCGTGCTTTGCAGTAACGGCGTGTCACAATTCCAAATTCTCCCATCGAAGGATTTAAGAAAAAATTAAAATCACTCCGCTACCTCCGAACTGTAAATGGTTGCGACGACAGATTTAATGACTAAATTTAGCCCCTGAATACAGCTCGAAGCCACAGCTATCCCTACCCCGGGCGGAACAATAGGAAGCAATTTTTATTCCTCCTCTTCCCACTCCTCCTGGGGGGGAGGAGGAGGAGGAGGAGAACAGACAATGGTGTGCACAGGCAAGGCAGCCAGCATCATCCTCCCTGGGCCAGTTCGTGGTGGGCACCAGAGACACAAAAGGCCAAAACATCTTAGAACGGATGTTTGCCAGCCTCACAGACGCGAGGACACGTTAGATAAGCAAAGGTAACGCCTAAAATTAAGTGGGCCACAGAGACGACAGGCTCAGTGCGTTCTGCTTGATCGAGATTTGAGTATCGGCAACTCCTGAAGCTTCCAAATGTCACGGCGACCACCGAGTCATGCCGGTCGCACCCAGCTGACGCAGAAAACCACAGCGCCTATACGCTGGGCTCAGGGTACCGAACTCTGGGAACAAGCTCTCATGCCAGCCAGATCCTGGGACAAGAAATCCGGATGCTCTAAGCAGGTAAGAGGTAACAGAAAAATCCACGGCAGCCTCTGCTGGTTGGTTTTCAGTGCAGGTAAAACGCTTCCCTTTCATGAATGACAATGATGGGCACATAGCGATTCAAAAGTAAGGAAGTTTGCTTGCTTTCCTTGTGGAAATACGAGCAGGCTTCCTTCAATACCAGAAAAAAAAAGCCACGCTGCAAGCTGCCAGCGGCTTGCTCACCTCTGCTGCTCCCGGAGCCCAGCTCCTGCCGGCGTTTTCCAAGCAGCAGCAGTGCGAACTGCCACAGACTGACTGCCCCAACTTGTACGGTATTTTACGTCTATCTGGAGGCAAGTGAAAATAAAAGCAGGAATCAGCTGGCCCTGGCGAAACCATGCCATTAGAGACAGAATTTTACAAGACGTGGCAATACTGGAATGTTACATCAGAGGCAGTAGAGAAAAAGTTTTCTATCTGTAGATTAGAGACACATCAGGGACTCTGGCACACTTTTAAACAAAATGTGCTTCAGGATTATTGTTTTTTTATTTGCATGTAAAGAAAAGGAAGTGAGAAAGAGAAAATGGTTATACTGGACTAATCCAATGGCTGTCACCAAGGCAGTATTTTACCTATTTAACATAGCTGGTTAGGTCCAGCAGAAGGACCGAGCACTCTTCTTCAAGCTGAAGAGAAGGAGCAATGCCGCACCTTCTTTATAAATTACAGCCGCGAGAAACAACAGAAGTTACCACCCCAAACAGAAGACTCACACCATCTGATCCTGCTGGAAACAGCGGAGAGGTGGTAGGAGCTCGAGCTTTGTGCATGAAAAGAAAGCCTGTGAAGGCAGTGGTGATGTGCGTGACCCTGTAAGGAAGCAAGATAAAGCTTCTCAGAGAGAAGAAGTCCATATGGAGCTAGATTTAGAAGCTCCAAGCAAGGAAGCAATCTATTACTCATTTCTTCTATTCAGAAAGGAACAGGAATATTTGTTTTCTAAATCTTTTTTTGGAAGGCAACAGGACTGGTAGCAGCAATTCCTGCAACGCACAAAGAAGCATCTCAGCCACGCCACTCATTTCTAGTTTGAAGTCCTTCAGGACTCTCTTTGGTAAAATATTGGGTGGTCAGATGGATTAAATGGACAACAATAATTTCTGTAAAATCTTTTAAAAAACATTGATTAGAGCAGCGATATGCAGCTGCAGCTATTTCCTTTTATCCACTTTCTCCTTAGCCTATAGAACAAAGGTGTTTCTTCGGTTTGCTTTATTTTTATCTTAACTACCTCTGGCACTTACTTGTCCACCACATCACATGGACATTCTGGT